TTGTAGATGTAAAGTCAGAGACGATAGCTCATCTGCTGCTGCAGTTTGTGTTGGTCATCCTCTAGTCCTTCATCAGTGGTCACAGGACGCTGCCCACAGGACGCTGTTGGCTGGATATTTTTGGTTTATTCTCAGTCCAGCAGTGACACTGAGGTGTTTAAAAACTCCAGCAGCACTGCTGTGTCTGATCCACTCAGACCAGCACAACACACACTAACACACCACCACCACGTCAGTCTCACTGCAGTGCTGAGAATAATCCACCACCCAAATAGTACCTACTCTGTGAGGGTCCATGGGGGTCCTGACCACTGAAGAATCACTAAATAGTGATTTTGGCCAAAAGAAAGTACTGGAAATGTGCTTGTGTGATTCATGTGGTCATTTAGCCCACACAGTGTGAACTTTGGGTTAAAAAGAAAAGGGTTTTCAAAAAGGTTTGGTCAATCTGGTTGTAGAGGAATCAGACGTGACCACAAAAACTGGTCTGTATTTGTAAATGCGCTGTTTTTTTTCATTTAGACTATTTTATTGTATATCTCCACAATCGTCCTGCATAAAGTTGTTGAAAATGCTTCCAACATCTAAAAATAATATAAATAATAGAATATATTTATTATTTTAAGGACCAAAGGTTTTGAGCTGAGGGTATTGCTACTTCTAAAATAAATAAATAAATTATATATATATGAAAAAAAAAAATTACAAAACATTTTTCCTGTAAACTGGGATCAATCTTTCACATTATTGCACACATTAGCGGCTCAAGTGGTTCCCAATCTGTCCTGGTGAGCCCATTTTCGAGATTTCCTTAGTCTAACTCACGTGATTCATCTGACCAGTTACTGTACAGCCGTGACTGAGCTGAGCTGGACTGACTGAGCAGAGTAAACACATTCAGACTGTTTTATACTTCTCCTTCTTTATCATCCACACCACTCCTGAAGAAACAAGCCAGCGTTCAAGAGTTCTTGTTTTACACCAATCACTGGAGTTTTTATTTGGTGGTTGGCAGTGGACTGTGTGTACAGTTTGCAGTTTGGCAGTGGCCTAACCTGTTTCCAGGTAACGGATAAGCATTCAGTAATAATCCCTTAGACTCATAACAACAGTGGCATGACAAAACATTCTTATGACTATATCTGAGCTGCTCCATCAGAGCCCATATTCACAAAGTGTTTCAGTGAAGCAAAGTGCTTTGTACTGCGCAGAAGTCAGAGACCACCCTTCCGTTCAAGCAACCAATAGGTACAAGTTAAAAAAAAATGATTAAACGCTACAGAGAAAATGTGGCTCCTAACAACCACCTGGAAGACCTGGTAGACAACAAAACTGCCCCCATCAGATAAACAGCACTTTCATCTCTTTCATCTCTGAGAGAGAGGAGAAAATCAAGCTGCTTCAGATCTGAAAACATCCACAGGTGTTTCTGTCCATCCTTCCACTGTGAGAAGACGACTCAGCGCTGTGGGTCTGAAAGGATGTGTAGCTGATCAAGAAGAACCTCACTGAGAAAAGGAGACGGACACATCAAACAAAGAAGCTGAACGATGGACTGACCACCCCAGAGTCCAGACCTCAACACCACTGAATGTGTTTGATTACTTCAGAAAATGATCAACCAGCTTCTAAGACTGAACTTTGGAGGTGTGTCTGCAGATTCTTTGAGGAACTGAAAGTGAGTCTCCTGAAAGGAATGGACACTGTAATAAAGGTATAATAAAGGTATAATAAACAAAAATAACATGAATAGCTTGCACTTCATGGCTGCTTTGACTGAGCATTAAATAAATGAAGGAAGGTCTCTTACATCAGCACAGTACTGTAGTCTTTAATGGGTTTATATAAACCAGCACTCCTACATTAATATGCTTTGTGAATACAGGCTCACTTGTTTATTAAAGCTATAAGGTGAAAATTTGTTAGATGGTCCACCATGCTTTGGCATACATTATATGTCCAAAAGTATCCAAACACTCCTTCTAATTAGTGAACTCAGCTACTTTAAGGTGCACCCCTTGCTGGCCCAGGCAGCCAAGGGTCTACTAGAAAGTATAAAGCCCCCTAGCTTGGGCTGTGGAGCAGTGGACTTGGATTCTTTCTTCGTTCTCTGGACTGATGGAGCTCCATCCATTACCTTTGGGATGAGTTGGAGATCCAGAACTGACCATCCAACAATCACCCAACCTCACTAATGCTCAATCAAATCCTCACAGCAATGTTCCAACATCCACTGTGAAGCCTTCCCAGAAGAGTAGAGGCTGTTACTGCAGCAAAGAGGGGACAAGTTTCTTGTTAATACCCTTGAATTCAGACAAAACTCTGCAAACTTTTGGACATATAGTGCAGATTTATCAACCGAGACAATCAGCATGTGTTTTAATGCTGAGCACTAGGCAGGTTTAGCAACGTGTCCTATAACTGGAACGAGCCAATCACATTCTGCGCACATGCCAATAACTTCTGCATCTTCTTTGTAACCGCAAAGACAGAAATACAAAATATGTAACACACAATGGAGTCGAACGTGAAACAGACGAGACTGGCACATAAAACAAAAACAATTAAGATAGAAAAAGGTAGAACACATGGCAACACGGGCACAGATTACAATAAACTGGCAAAAAAAAACAAAAAAAAACAAGAATGAAGATGGCTTTATGAAAAGAGACGTCAAATCACAGATGACATGGACTACAGTAGTATGACACAAACACTGTATATACCACACACTGTAGCTTTCTATGACTCGTTATTGCACTGTTGGCTTTTACTGTGGCTTCTTCCCGTTTTCAGCGGTCGTGTAACGGTTCTCTAAAACAGTCTCCATCTAGACCAAACAGAAACAGGTAGTCTATAGTAGTAAGTAGTAAAACTGTCAAGACGAGGAACATAAAAAAAAGGAAACTGACCGTAATTATAATATCTAACATTCAGTGTGAAAACATGGTGACTTTAACAACCACATTTTTCTGCAAATTTTAGTGCACAGTTGTTATATATTTGCTGAGTTTATCATATTGGGAAAAAAAATGAAATGTGTTGTAACTTTTGCACACGACTATCAATATCTATCTACCTACCTCTGAATACTTTAGAGGTCAGATGTGAATAACTAGGTTGAAGGGGATTTTTGCTAATGTTCTGTCCACCTGGCAACAGCTGCCATGAAAGAAAATCGGTGGGTGGAGCATGAACAGGTCAATTAGGTGTGACTTTTCCCTTCTGGGGCAGTAACCAGTTCAGTGTCTGTAATAATACATGCAAAACAATGCAAAACCAATAAGGACGTCACAGTGTTTTAGGGCCACAATTAAAAATAATTAAAAACTGTAGACTTTGACAATAAAGTCGTAAAGTCGTCATTTTCAGAACAAAGTCATAATATTTTGAGAATAAAGTCATAATATTTTGAGTTAAAAGTCATACGGCATGACATTTTGCGAATAAAGTCATAATATTTTGAGAATAAAGTCATAATATTTTGAGTTAAAAGTCATATGGCATGACATTTTGCGAATAAAGTCATAATATTTTGAGAATAAAGTCATAATATTTTGAGTTAAAAGTCATACGGCATGACATTTTGAGAATAAAGTCATAATATTTCAAGAATGAAGTCATAATATTTTGAGATAAAAAGTCAGACAGTATGACATCTTGAGAATAAAGTCATAATATTTTGGTAATAAAGTTGTAGAATTACGTCATTAAAGTGGAATGGTGCCAGGAAAAGCCGCAACATTGTGGCCAAAGATTTTGCGAAGGGAAGGCAGCACCTCCTCGTGTTAATGAGGGGTGGTGAGTCGGTGGTGACTCAGTCTCCCTGTCTCTCCTGCACATCAGCACCAGCCTGTTATTAGTATAAGAACCAGCTGAAACAGCTGAGCAGGAAACTGTGTTTATCTAGAATAAAGAGCCAGACGGACTCGGAGGAAACTGTTCATCTACACGGCTATCGGTGGTTGCATCTCCGTGCCATTCGAAGAGGCCATGTAGTTTGACAGGACACGATGACAATGATAATCAAAATGATCGACCCCGAAAGAGTGAGTGGAACTCCGTTGCGCTCGGCGTCTTCGTCCTCACCAGTACAGCAATCGAGGCCTCAACGCATTATGGCAGCCCCCCTACAATTAGCCCACTTTATACTCGAAATATCGCAAGTTTATTCTTGTAACTTTATCACTTCATTATCAAAATATTACGACTTTATTCTCAGTCTATTATTTAATTTTTTTTTAATCAGTGGTCCTAAAACGCCATCATACATGGCAAACTGGCAGTGATGTTTGGGCATTCAGATTCAACGAACTAAATAAGGAGCACCACAAGGTGTAGCTAATCCAAAATGCAGTCTTGAGAGTTGAATTAGCTTTATATTTAGCCGACCGAGAGCCTTTAAACGTTAAATCCTTATATTGTAACCCAGAGTAACAAAAAACAGAATTAGCGATTTAAACGTTTTTGGTTGTTTTACTGTTTAAGCTCCACCATAAATGGAACACCAGGAGAAAACCAGTTTCAGCGGGTTCACCGTAAACAAAACCAAAACGGAACCGACGAACATCTGTTATTAACACCAACGTAAAACCAAGCATGAGGTTGAAACAACAGTGTGATAAGCAGTGCATTAAAAACAAAATAAAATACAATATTTGTACCCTAATTACAATATATATATATATCTATATATTTACTTTAAAATACTCAGACACATTACAGGTATAGAATATACTTTATACACGTGGAAATGTTCAGGTGGACTCACGATTAAAGAATTGCAAAACATGTGATGTGTCTTCACTCTGTATAGAATATTCTTATCTGGCATAAAAGAAAAGAACATACAGTATATTAGCAAAAAAAAAACAAAACACTGACCAAATCCTAACACATATATACATGTAACGCACTCGCACTGTCACACAGTTTCGCTCTCTCTTAGCACTCATACAGAAAATGGAATGACCCAAGGCTTTAGTTTAGTTTTTCTTTTCTTTTTTTTTCCTTTTTCCTGATCTTTCTCATTCAAGCACTACTCCCACCTCCACAAAGCACCTGCTTCATGATGCCCCATGATCCCCTCTCTCTCTCTCTCTCCCTCTCTCTCACATCACCCAGGGTGCTCTCTCTCCCTCTCCTGGTCCAGGAGTCTAAGCTGCCTCCTCCAGCGCTGCGAGCAGGCCTCTCTCAGTGAGATGGGCCTTCAGGGAGTTGTAGATGTGGAGCTGCTGGTCCGGCCGCAGGGCGAGCAACTGCTGGATCACTTTAGTAGGGTTCGGTCCCCTGCAGAGGGAGAGGAACAAAGAGAAAACATGATATTATTCGGGACTAGGGGTGCAGGAAAAAATCGATTCTTAGACGCATCGTGATGCGGATGTGGACGATTCTGAATCGATTCATTCAACGTCAAAAATCGATTTTCTAAATATTTAATTTGTAACATAATGTTGACGGAACGCAAAAGGCGGAACTGGAAGTACGGAAGTGCAGCGCCCGGACAGTCTGTGGCGGCACATAACAAAAACACTACTGGATAAGCGAGAAATCTGACCGGCTCCCTCTGCATTAAAGCCAGGTTAGATCAGGAGTCACAACACAAATGTTAAGAAAAGCCATTTTGTCCTTTAACATAAATCAAATCACCTCGGGAGCCACAATATTTAATGTCCAGTATGTGCCAGTATGTGTTAATGTCCTACTATAGCTAAACAATATAAACAGATTTACTTCGCTCTGCTTTAAGCTTCGCCTACAGCCGCTTTCCTCCCATCTCCGCCAGAAAACCTTTCCTCAGAAGTAGATCAGTTAAATGTCTCTCAACGTTCGACTGTTTCGTTCACTACTAGCTCGGCAAAACCTCATTGCTATGTGACCTGCAGTCTAGGTTAGTGTGTGTTGTGCTGGTCTGAGTGGATCAGACACAGCAGTGCTGCTGGAGTTTTTAAACACCTCAGTGTCACTGCTGGACTGAGAATAGTCCACCGACCAAAAATATCCAGCCAACAGCGTCCTGTGGGCAGCGTCCTGTGACCACTGATGAAGGACTAGAGGATGACCAACACAAACTGTGCAGCAGCAGATGAGCTATCGTCTCTGATTTTACATCTACAAGGTGGACTGACAAGGTAGGAGTGTCTAATAGAGTGGACAGTGAGTGAAGTGTTCAAAAACTCCAGCAGCACTGCTGTGTCTGATCCACTCGTACCAGCACAACACACAGTAACACACCACCACCACGTCAGTGTTACTGCAGTGCAATGTTATGCCTGATCGGTGTATGAACCATATGAACTGAGACGTTAGGTGTTTAACACAAGAAAAATTCAGTTCTCCATGGCGTGGGCCCTTTAATGCAGAAGAAAAGTATTGCAGGGTCAAGATATAAGCAGCTACGAATCAGAACAGACACTGAACTGGTCACTTTCACCCAGGCTTACAGCATTTAGATCACAGTACCTAAAGATTTAGAAACTATTCCTTGCATTTGTTCAAGATCTAAAGACAGAAACTGTTCATTCAAGTTCCAGAAACAGAACTGCAATGATAGAGGGTCTAAATAGGACAATAATCATGGGTGTTAAAACAGTACTACATTAGTGAAGTACAGCTTCCTGACACTGCGCTTAAGTGCAATATTCACTACAATAGAGATAAAACAATGACAGAAATTATGCATAATTTTTTTTAATATCATTGTTTTAAGTCTAAAACTAAATTATAAAGAATTTTCATTGTAGAATCCACACTGGCAGTTAACAGTAGTCATTACTGTAGCAGCCTTTATCTGTGTATGCAATGCCCACCCACAGACAGCGATCATTTTCTCTGGAAAACCCGCCCATATACAGTAATTACTTTCTCTGGAAAACCCACCCACAGATATGATTATTCTCTCTGGAAAACCAACTAATACACACTGGATATAAACCACGTGGACTAAAAAGATAAGCCAAAAAGCCTCACCTGATGAAGCTGGCAATGTAAACATTGACAAAAGTGGCCATGAGATACTGGCAGTCAAACCGGTCCATAATTCCTCCATGACCAGGAATGGTGTTAGCAAAGTCCTGCAGCAGGGAGAGCAGAGTTAGTCAGCAATATCACCTCCATTACTACTATATCATATTATATCACTGATGCATAATTAGCCTTAGGACAAGTTATAGTTCAAAATATATATTATATATATTTATATAATAAATATATAATAGATATAATAGATAAATATAATACATATTTATCAATAACAATACTGAGACCTTTACTTTGAAAACAACTCCTGAATGATCATTTTTAACAGTATTTTTTGAAAAACAAAATAAATGAGTTAAATGAATAAACATACCATATAAAACGTATATTGTATCTCTATCTATGATTTTTGCACTTTTTTATACAAATCTTGAGCTTCACTTTTTCTTGGCTTGTTGGTGTTTTTGCACACCAAGATTAGCTACAAAAAATCTGTTCCAAAAGTTCCAGTCAAAGCATCATACCTAGAACACAACACTTAAAAGACTGAAAAGGTCCAAAGGAGCACCACATAGGAATAAAAGTACAGCTGAAGTTAATTACAAGTATATGAAATGTAATTTAGACTTCTAATAACCAGTCCAGATAATGTAACAAGCTTGTTTATTGGCTCACTGATGCTGATGAGAATGACTTACTTAGACAGTGAAATTCAGTTTCGGCTGAAATTGAATTTTTCTATGCTATGTGACACCGAAGAAATTAGGCTAGTACCATAAAAGTGTTAAATGTTAATATCCAGAACTAAATCATCATAGTCAGTCCCTCTGCTTTTACACCTGTAGATTCTACAAGCCATTTTTAAAGGGGAACCCCAGTGATTTTCCAGAATGCCTATAAATAAACTGTTAAGATCTAAACTTTCATAAGAAAAAAAGTCAGTCAGAGTGGATGTGAAACGCTCCGTTCTAGAGAAATTACCGAGCCAGTTTACAGAGGTGGTGATAGTAACGAGAGTTTAAGGCTACGTTCACACAGCAGGTAAAAGTGGTCCAAATCTGACTTTCCTCACCAAAACTGATTTTTTTGCTTGACTGTTCACATTATCTTTGAAATGTGTTCTGTATGCGACAGTCTGAACAGATCGGCTCCTAAATTGACCCGCATGCGAAATCCAGAAGTAAACAATCATGATTCAAAGGAACGCCAGGCGCTCCCGAAGGTTCAGCTTCATCTTCACCAGCATCACAGGAGCCATCATGAAACTTCACTGACTGACAGCTGGGCTCATCACCCAGAATGTGTTCAAGCTCATCGTAAAAAGGGCGCGGTCACTTCTTCGGTTTGTGTCCTCAGATTCTTTAAACTTTGCTTTCAGACTTTTAACTGCAGCCTCGTTCTCTTCTGAAATCTCTTCGAACACAGAGCGGTTTGGATAAGTCTCCTCTAATTTTTGTACAGAAACATCAGCCCAAATGTTTATGAGTCTCAGCAGCGTGAAATTATGACGAATGTGGGGTTGGATTGACGTACAAGTCACATGAATTCTGATCTGGCTGTTCAGACTCAGATTCAGAGTCGCATTACCGCAGATCGGATAAGGATCAGATTTCAGCACCACAAATAAAAGCGTCTCAAATCAAAGTTGAAAATGTCAGATTCAGGTGTGTTTATCTGTCCACACTGACACACAGACACACATCTGTGCCACATATGAAGAAAAAGATCAGATTTGGGCCACTTTTACCTGCTGTGTGAACAAAGCCATAGCTACCCATAGCTGTCTGATGCCCGAAACATTGTTTATGGTATTTGTGAGAAGATTTTGGCCTGAAACATATTATATATTTATGTTGTAGTCATGGTGAAACCTGGTTTCTATCACCACCACTGTAAAGAAATCTGAGTCGGTGAGTTTCTCTACAATGAACCATTTCACATCAAACCACTCTGATTGACTCTGTTTACATCTTAATGAATGAATTATGCGGAAAGTTTCCATCCTGTGCTAATAAATGAGCATGGATCTATTTTGGGATACATTCAGAGAGCTGGGTAAAAGACATAAATCACGTTTCTCTTTTATACTTTTCCAGTAAACGAGTTCAAATATAGTATTTCCACATCAGCATGTGCTGATGAGCTCTAATGGGCTGAAAAGAGCTGCAGATGTGGCTGCTGTTTAGCCTGAGGTTTAGAGGAAGGTGACATGGAAAAATGCCATGTAAACCACTTGATATAGAACCTTGATCTTGAAGGCCCTCTTGAATCCGCTGGCAAAGAAGCCTCCAAACGGCCCCACGATGGAGGCGAAGGCGGACAAAGCGATGCTGTGTATCTGGAACGGGTACAGCTTCACTGTGGTCTGAAACAGAGGGAAGAGAAAGAATGATTCATTTCTTCCTACATTTACATTCTTCCACGCGCACTGACATCACTTCAGCATGTGGATTACTATCCGCAGAACTGCTTCGTGAGTATTTTGTAATTTGAGGGTTTCTGGAGGAGGTGGAGAGTTTATTTAAACTTTTAGGAAGTATGTGCAAAAAGGCAGAGTGTAGAAAAGAATGAAAGAAAGAAAGAAAGAAAGAAAGAAAGAAAGATAGACAGAAAAAGACCACCGAAATAAAGAAATGATAAAAGAAAGAAAGAAAAAAGATGGTAAGAAAGACAAAAAGAAAAAAGACGGAAGAACAAAAAAAAATCTAAGGAAAGAAAGGGAAAGAAAGAAGGAAATAAAAAAAGAAAGAAAGAAAATGACAAACAGAAAGACAGATATGATCAAAGAAAGAAAAAAAATCTAAAGAAAGAAAGAACGAAGACAGAAAAAAGACAAACAGAAATAAAGATGTGATGAAAGAAAAAAGATAAGAAAGATAAAAGACGGGAGAATAACAAAATCTGAACAAAGTATAAACAAAAAAGAAATGAGACAGAAAGAAAAACAAAAGAGAGGAAAAGAATGAAACAAATAGAACAGAGGAACAAAGGAAAGAAAAAAGAAAAAAGAAAAAAGACAGAAAGAGAGACAGGCAGGGAGACAGGCAGCGAGGCAGACAGAGACAGGGGAATTTTGAAGGGAGCTGCTGTTTAGACTGTTAACCGTTAAAATATGCGCAAGAACAGAAAGAACGTATCGTCACTGACGGGACAATATCTCATATTTCGGTTTTCAGTTTTTGACAAATTGAAATGCCCAGCTGCTCTTTACACTGACTCAAAATTTCATGAAGAACTGACCAATCAAAATGCACCAAAATTATTTGGAATAAATAATCTCTCCACTTCCACTGAAAGTTGAGAATGTTTTTCTTTCGCCTGTAAAGTTACCATTTTGGAGATACAAGGCTTTGTTTCGACAGTGTGGACTTGTTTGTGTCTGCGCGCGCGTGTGTGTGTGTGTGTGTGTGTGTTACCCAGCCGGTGATGGACTCGAGGACGGAGGGCAGTGTGTAGTCCTGCAGCTGGAAGAGCTCTGATGGTTCACAGTCCACTGTGAAACTGTTGGAGTCGTTACTGAACTCCACTGGACACACAAAGTAACGATAGCCTGCCATCACATAGGAGAACTGAGAGAGAGAGAGGGAGAGAGAGAGAGAGAGAGAGTATGGATAAGTCAGATATTTTGACTATTCGAATGGTCAAGAAAGATAAAACTAGAACTCTGAACTCCACTAGAGGGCAATGCGGAGCCTGTGTCTCACATTTTGATCAGAGTTTCTTTTCTGTTTAGTCCAAAGAAGGAACCAAAAACCAGAGAACAGAGGAGAATTTCCAATCTGTAATGTCCTCTGGGGTTCTTAAACACTAGAGGGCGCTCCCGAGTGAGTCTAAAATGAATGGGTTGATATGGAGCATTTGAGCAAAATCATAGTTTATAAATGCTGAAACATTTTTAATGTAAAAGATTACATTCATTTCCTGAACAGAACAGCATAAAACATTTGAACACTGCTGTTATATTTTTACGAGCTTTTAAACTCGAGTTATACGGGCTTAAAACGGCGCCTCATGTACGTTCATGAAGTCAGTGGCACAAACAGCCAATAAGATGCTCCGCTCGCCAACCAATCAGCACTCAGTAGCAGTAATGCCAGCGTCCTGCTGCCCAAAACCCGTTTGCTGTAGAAAAAAGGAAACTACAGGTAAACTTTCTTTGCTTTTTTTGTGAAATCCATCCTTCTACTTTCTAAAATTAGAGGAAAGTTCTGGGCGAGTGATTAGAAACTATTCTAAGTTTTTGTTTTTAGCCGTTCAGCTCCATTCACCCCTATTCATTGAGGACTTGCTCGTGGGCGCCCTCTGTTGTTTTGCAGTCATATTTTTTTATATAACGGGGGAAATAAGAAGTGGCCAGACTCTTCATAAACCAGCTCTGAAGAAACCACAGAAAGACTGCAAGCAACTCAAGATTACTGCACATCAGAGTGCAGCTATAGCACAAAAACATCAAACACAAGCTCATTTTACAGTCTCCTCATTTAGTGTTAATGAAACAAAACATAATTTAGTGAATTTATCACATTTGCTATCAGCTAACTATTCACAAACTCACGGTTTTGCAAGCTAAAGGGTATTTAGTGAAATACAATGTTGACAGCCCAGTAACATTAGCTAAGGTACAAACTGTCAATTATCAAAACCAGGCATCTGGCAGCATCTTCTCAAAGTAAAGTTGGCAGGGAGGATCCACACTCATACTGGGCCTGTTATCTGAGTGTCTTGTCCATTCTAGACCAGGGGTTGGCAACTCAAATGTTAAGAAGAGCCATTTTGTCCTTTCAACAAAAAATCAAACCACTCTGGGAGCCACAACATCTTTTCTCGCATCTCCGGCAGGAAACTTTTCCGCAAAAGTAGAATAGTTTCTTGTAAAATGTCTCTCAACATCTGATTTTTTTACGAGGCTGAAGTCAGCTTCTTGTTCGCCAGATTCTTGCTCAAAGTTTCCAACTTTCCAACAAGAAGCTGGCGATCAGAAGCTGACTTCAGCTTCACGACTTTGTGTTTGTCAGTTTCTCATTGCAGATTAAACGTATCAGGAAACCAGCTCAGTGCTTATAAATGCACTTAAGTCCATTCGCCATTCTCCAAATTATCGATTTTCGTCTTAAATCTCTCTCTATGCCGTTTCATAACTACAAGCTAGGTGAGATTGCCGTCTGTGTTGCTATGGTGACCAGCAGTCTGCGTGCCAACCTTCAGGGTTAAAGAATTAATAAGCAGTTCTATATCAATTCCAGCATATAAGTCCATTTACTGTTAAAACTGTGTTGAACGATTAGCAGAGCTTTATTTTACTGCAAAGGAGGATTATTTTATTTTTACCTACAAATCTAATTCTGCTGTGGAGCCACAACAGGGCAGTAAATCAACCTGAGCCAAAACAACCTGTATAGTATGGAATGAGAGCTTGACCTCTTGAAAATCAAACCTGAAAATATGTGTATTGTTAATAAACAAGGTCCAGCTTTTCTTACCAGGATTCCAAAGACTACCGTGGAGAAAAATCCACCAATAAAACCTTCCCACGTCTTCTTGGGGGACAACTGTGCACGCAAGACAGAAGAGATATTTATACATAAACCTAGAAGGTTATTAACACTCCTAAAATGTGCGAGAAGAGGTGCTGTACATGAGAGATCACCTACAAGGATACTGGAAATTATAAGAACCAACAGGGCACAAACTAATCATTTGATATTTTCGAAATTCTTGCAAAGAAAGTGAGATTAAACAGTGCATATGTGAGATTTGAGATCCGAAATTATGTGACATTTAGAGTTATTAATAATGGATTATAACACTTCGAGCAACTTTGTAACTAACACTGGCTAAATAAATTCTTATTGTTCATTCCACAAAAAGAAACGTCATACAGGAGCTGGACGCTCACCTTGATGAGCGGAGTACGTCCAAAGAAGAATCCAAACATGTACGCCATGATGTCATTACAGATCACACAGGAGATCGGAACAATAAACCTGCATGCAAACAGACCTGATTAATTTTCAGCCCGGTTCATGTTTAAACCAGTTCATAGTCAAAACCAGGTTTCAGGGCAACTAAAGAAAACAGACCTAAAACTTTGGGTTCACTACATGACTTTTAAAGTCTAACAGAGTATAAAAAACTGGGCATCTCACACTATCGGACTGGCTTTTTGCAGATTTTTTTGGGCAACTGAAATATTGAGGATCACACACTAAACGATTAGCACACTACTCAACTTATCAGCTGTTGGTGAACCAAATGGAACTCACTGAACACTCGCAGTCTGCAATCTCTCACAATGTCCCATTACTAAGAGACTCAAATAAACAAAGGTGGAGCTGCTGCTGCTGTTTTCTCTGCTGTTTGCACTGACACAGCAAAGAAGAAGCAGGTAAACATGTTTAAGTGAGGATCATGGTTTTAAAAATGTGATTAGTATGGTATTTTTTAGAGTTGTAAAAATGTACATAAACTCGATTTTGCTCGTACCTTAAACTCAGTTCATTTAAAAGATTCGCTCCACACGTGAGAGACTTTTCGTAATTTTTCTTTGTTTACTTGCTGTATTTTCTTCTTTCGCAGTCTCAGTTTTCATTGGCTGCTGCAGGAGTCGCTCAGATTGAGTCGTTGACCACTTTACAATAGATTACACTCAGAGTCGGGTCGAGAAATTGGATGTTTGATAAACTCCGACTGGTCTGAAATGCGATTGGGAGTCTGCGCCCCTCACACACGACTCGACTCTCTCTCCAACTGTCGATTCCGACTGACCCAAAAATCGGCCGGCCAGCCTAGACTCAGCCAGACTGAGAACTGGGGCTAAAATTAGGGTAAGTCATATCGTGTAACCCCGGCTTAACCAGACAACCCAAACCACTCAAGTAACAATATATATCTGATGAAATATTATTATTAGAACAATTAAGCAGGAGAATTTGATTTTTCCCACTAGTGCTTTGTGTGTTTACTGCTGAGAATTCAGATTTTTCTGCTAAATTTCGCATTAGAATTTGCACTGACCCACCAGCTGAGCCAAGGGTGTCATCTGGTGTAACCCAGGTTAGCACTTTATCAGTACATGCTTGACTATTCGGGGATTGAAATGGTATTGAATAAACTGTCATATTCATAACTAGAAGGGCACAGTTTGTGAATGGACATTAAGTTGCTCTGAAATCCAATTTAACATGTATTTTAACCAGGGCTGTTCAAACTTTTACAGATGACTGTAAACAAGACTTTCTTGAGAAAACACTTTCTTGTGAAATTCTTTCAAAGAATGTGGGATTTAGCATTGCATATGTGAGATTTGAGATCTGAAAAACGTGAGATTTAGAGTCGGTACTGACCAGATCATTCCTTCAAACAGGTTATGGATGATGAGGTGTGACTGAGTAACCACAATCAGCAGGGTCACATGGGTCCAGCCGAACTGCAGAAGACCAGAAATAAGACAAGAGTGAATTGAAACACACAGAATACATTTAATCAGGGTTTCTACTAAACTAAAGCATTAAGCTGCTTCCTGTTGTGCCTAACAAGACCACTTTTATGGTAAAATCACTGTAACGTACAACGTAGAGTGGCTTATTTCTTTTGGAAAACAATGACAAAATACAATAGAAGAAAACACACCAATATTCAATAAATAATGTAATAATTCATTTATAATAATTGCAATAAATAGTTTGTTTGCCAAGCAATACAGCTCCTAAGTTGTAGGCTGTGGCTGCCAAGCAACATAATGTCAAAGATTATTAATAATGCCTTAAATATTGCTGATAACAGTGACTGTTTGATTGCTCAACACAGTATTTTCGTTTTTAAATAACTTGCCACATGCAAAAAGTATTTTACACTTGTTTTGAATGTGGCTCAGCCAATCTTGGCGACTCTACAGCTTCACTCACCATGTAGAACTGCAGCCGATAGTGCTTCTTCACCAGGCTCAGTACAAACATGCAGAACCCTGCAAACACACAACACCCACACAGACACCAAAACAGGCACACATATGGACACCGTGATTAGAGAGGGAGATCTACTAATGGCATTCCCATCTGGGTGTCTCACTATATTTGGATCAGCCCTACTGTCACTAATTACACTCCATCTGAGAGGAACAGGCCACAGAGAGTGCATCATGTCCAAAAAAACACCCACACACACCAGCAACTGAACTGATACGAATCTGCACCCCCTGATCTCCAGAGTGATGGAGACAGCATTCAGAACAATCAAGTTACAACGTGCAAAGAGAAAGAAAACAGCATAACATAGTTATAAATGTTATAAACAGCATTACGAGCTATACGACATTTCAACCAGAAATAATGAATAATAATTCCTCTAACTTTTTCAGTAAAATCTTTTTTTAATCAGGTTTTTATAATATTTTTCATGCTGTATCACAAATCTAAACAAATTCAAAAATGTAACCACCCCTCAAGTACCTGACATACACATTTAAACATTATACAGAAACAGATTTCCATAAAAGAAAAAAATGATAATACAAGTAAAACGAAAAGACAGAAAAACTGGTTGCACTGTCGTGCGGTCAGCTTCCACACCCTCAACAAAGGCTGCCAAACAGTCTAATCTCCTCCAATTTGAGATGAGACGGTGCACGACTTTCATGATCCTGGGATGGCTGTGGAATAGGGTCTTTACATTTGGACATTATGAACAATATCAGTCTCCCGGTCAGGAGAGCAAAGGGCCAACATGTCGATTTCCCATGTACTAAGAGGGGCGACGGCCAGGGCCACACCAAACAATGCACCAGAGGTAAACAATCATGACTGCCAATGAATGCCAGTCGCTCCCGGAGGGTTCAGCTTCATCTTCACCAGCATCACAGAAGCCATCATGAAGCTTCACTGACTGACAGCTGGGCTCATCACCCAGAATGTGTTCGAGCCGTAGAAAGGGGGCGGTCACTTCTTTGGTTCGTGTCGTCGGATTCTTTAAACTTTGCTTTCAGACTTTTAACTGTTCTTTGATGCTGCAGCCTCGTTCTCCTACGGCAGCGTTCGGACATTTCTTTCTAAATCTCTTTGAAAAGGGTTTTGGAAAAGTCTCTTCTATTTTTTTGTACAGAAACATCAGCCCAAATGTTTATGAGTCTCAGCAGCGCGAAATTATGACGAATGTGGAGTTGGATTGACGTAAAAGTCGCACAAATTCCAATCTGGCTGTTCAGACTGAGTCGCACTGCCGCATACTGGATACATATCAGATTTCAGTACCAAATATGAAAGTGTCTCAAATCTGAATTGAAAATGTCAGATTCAGTGTTTTTGCTGTTCACACTGACAAACAGACACACATCTGTGACAAATATCAGATTTCCCTGCTGTGTGAACAAAGCCAAAGATGGTTTGCCAGAGTGTGTGGAGCTTTGGACGTGTCCAAACACGCCTCTCCACAAACATAAAACAGATAACTGCAGCTTTCTTCACATTTAGCAATCCTGTACAACTAATGAAATAAAACATTTCATTTAAATACGTTTGTATGAATGCTGACCTGCTTGCTCACCTACGAAGACGAAAGTCCAGATCACATTCGTTTTGTTTATCATCCACATTTCCATCTAAATACATTCATTAATGGAGTATTTTATTGAAGAAATAATGCCTAGTTCAACCAAGACTTCCAAAAGAAGACTGTATTTTATGGCAACTGTGAAAAATAGTTAATTGGAAAGTAACACTGGATATTAAACAACTTTCAGAAGATTTGAAAAGAAGGAAAGTTGTCCTCAAAGTTTAGACAAGCAAGACATTAAAGATTTTCATATATCGGTCATTTAACTGCCTGGTATTATGCGAAGCTTGGAGAGACGTTCTGAATAGTCGGTGTTTTTCTCTGTTGATATTTCTGTACGTGTTAAAATGTGCCAATATTTATTCAAAGATGGCCGTAAAATCATTCATGGGGGCAGAGGCAGATGGTGACGGCCACATCTTGTGGCTGGTGGTTTTTTTGGCACCGAATCACCCTGCATGTACAGAAACCTGGTGTGGTAGCACAAAATTAGCTGATAACATGATGTAAGCGTGCAACCACTGGTTGATAACCCTTGCATATGCTTGTTTCCTGTATGTACAACACTATGTATCATTACAAAACTAGCCACAACTGCTGAACAGTCTGTGAGGAAGTTTCAGCCTAAGAGCAAAACTAACAACTGCAAACATAAAACACATTAGAAATAAAGTTTGTTAATGAGTCAACTCTAAGAACTGCCCTTGAGAATCAACACCTACATACTGAGGGCATAGAAAAGGAAAATACTGCACTGAGTACGATTTACGTGGCATAAAAGTGACATAATGTGCTAAGTAGGGCTGAAAGGATAATCGTTTTTACATCGAAATTGCAATTTAAGAGTGCAATTTTCAAATCGCAAGAGCTGCAGTTTTTTTTTTTTTTCTCTTTTACATTTTAGCCTATATTATCAAAAAATTTTGTCTTTAAGTGGGGTAAATTTAACCTAATAACACAGAGCTTGTGAAGTGCCTGTAGATAGGTTAGATCAATCAGAGGCAACAAACCTCCATATTTTGTGACATCACAACCACTACTTACTGGCTGTCTGACACACTACATTCAGGGTTCAAGCCTCAAGCCAGAAAAAGTGGATATGCTGAACTTTTTGGCAAAAAAAAGGCCTGAAACTTTCTAGAAAATTTAAAGAAAATAATCACAATTTAAATCACAACTAATATAGTTCAGAAAAATCGCAATTAGATATTTTCCCCAAATCCTTCAGCCCTAGTGCTAAGCAAACAATGGTTTAGCTCCAGAAATGCTTTTTAAAAACCACATCAATGCAATTAGTACTGATGCATAAGAGCTGATAAATAAATATAATTTGGCCTACTATGTTAACATAACATGCTTGTGGATATATCATAGTAATTTTAGCATTTCCCCAAATCTAAAACATCATATTCAGCTCCCTAAGGGTTTGATGATTAGCTTATGAGTTGAATCGGCCATAGTAAATTGAAAAGGCTAAAAACTGTTCAAAACAGCTCGGTCCCCGGAACTTGTACTGGACACGTTTGCAATAAAGTCTAGTGTAAAGTGCTGAAGTCACCTTTCTCCCACCTACATGACAACTCGGAGCCTAAACGGGGTGTAAGAGGTGTTTAAAGTAGGCGCAGAGCTGCAGAACCAGGAACTTAACCACATCCTGTTTGCAGTGCTTTGCGCCAGCGCTCTGCACACATCTGCACAGATACAACTGCACGCACAGCCTTTCATTGCTCTTAGTGGTGGGTTTAACAGGCCACGTTCTGGTTAAAACCACAAAATATGTTCCATTTGTACATCTAGGATGTATATGCTCCAATTTAATGAGTTAAAATGTGTTACGCACTACTTTTACGCAGGTAACTAAATTTAGTAGTGCGGGTGGCATTGATAAAATTCAGCATCACAACATTTTTTTTTGATCATTACAGTATCAGATGATATTTAAGTTTGCATTAGGGATGTAAATGATTAACTGATAACCGATTAACCATTAACCTTCAATCGTTTGACCAGTGCTACTGGGTAAAAAAAACATATTAACTATAATTTATTTCCAAAAAAATAGTTCCTATTTGAAAAAGTGGGTTTATTATTGAAGTTGAGGAACATTTTTTAATTATAAGCGTACAGTTGCAATAGGTATTTATTTCAGCTAGACAGTCTGACTACAAGGCAGAACACACAGCTGAAAAGTGTTTTTTTTTTCCTTTTTTTCTGTAGGACAATAGCACTGTGCACAGTGTACCACCTTTTAAGTTAAAGGATTAAGTTAAACTCAGAAGTTAATATGTGAGTAAAGTAATTCAGAGTGGTTTGGTGTATGTACCATGCGCCCGTCCCACTTAGCCCCGATGACGACTGCGAGAGCCGGCAGGAAGGCGGGCCCAAACCCCAAGCAAGGACGAAACCCTGTGAGGATGGCGGGGAAAGAAGGAGAACCATAAGGGAGTGGTGGACAGTACACGAGTCCCGAACTCCTGCCTCCTTCCTCCGCCTCTTGTTCTGCAGCGAGGCCGCTAGACTACGCATCACGTTCGGCCCAGGCTGAGAGGCAGAGCAACAAGCTCTCTGTCCTTCTCTTAAAAGAGCAGGGAGGGAACCGAGAGAGAGAGAGAAAAGAGAGGGACGAGCAACAGTAGGGAGCTGAAACAAATTGCTTTTGGTGAAAAGACTGAAAAGCCAGTTTCTGCTGTAGGGGCCTAGGCCACCAAGGGCCCCCCTGCAATCTCCCACTGCCTGTACGGCACTGCACCACTCCCCCATGCTGGACCTTGCGGGTGGTGGGCCCACATGGTCCCCCCACGTTGCCTCTTCGGGCTGAGCCCGGCTGGGTTACGTGGGCTGCCCGGCCAGCAGGCACTCGCCGAAGGACGCTACCCCCAGGCCTGGCTCCAGTGACCCTCTCCCGGGCAGGGTACACGATCTTCAGTGTCCGTTTTTCATGGAGGGTTTTTGGATCGAGTTAGTCTGGGTCTTCACTCCAGACCTGTTCGCCCTGGGAGACCCTACCAGGAGCATGTTGCTCCCGACGACGTGAAAGCACGGCCTACCGGAATAAGACCCCGGGGTCGTCCTAGGACCCACTGGAAGGATTATATCTCCAAGTTGGCCTGGGAGCGGCTTGGGGTCCCCGGGAATGAGCTGGAGGAAGTTGCGGGGGACAGGGTCATCTGGGATTCTCTGCTCTCCCAACTGCTATCGCGACCCTATCTGGACTAAGCGGTTAACGATGATGATGATGATGATGATGATGATGAAAAGACTGAAAAGTCTAGTTTTGAAGCCACAGAGCCTGGAGTAGCACAGGCCGTCCTACAGTGTGACATGCTCTGTTTTAGAGAAACTCACTGAGTCAGATTTGTTCACAGTGATGGTGATAGGAACCAGATGTCTAAGGAGTTTAAGGCTTTTAAAATTCTTCTCACAGAAAGTTATTACACGAAATGGTTATAAAAACACTGCCTGATGCCTGAGACATTGTTGTACAACAAGGTATTTTCTGAAAGGTGTTCACGGTGGAGGGGTACATGCAGGTTGTTGTGAGGCCAACTGTCCACAAAGAAAACATATTTTCATCTATAGCACGATTTCATCATGTTCAACATTCCATATAAAAGCTCAGAAGACACGTGTGGGTTCACTGGTGGTTTTGGATAGTAAATAAAATGACTATCTTTGTGTTGAAGACATGGTAACCGCTGGTTCCTATCAAAGAAAGCCACAAATATGAGAATTTTCTCGGTTAAAAATTATGATGACCACTGTATTATCTTAGTTTAATGTCATTTCAATGTATTATGGTCCTTTTCTTCGTAACAAGAAGAAAAAAATCGCTAGTGGTACACTGATGTCTCAATAGCTCGCTAAATTTCCCGTTCCACCTTAAACGGTGCAGCAGTTCTTAAGCCTGAAGTGCCAGAATGTAACTGCTGCACCATTTAAGGTGGAACGGGAAAATTCGAACGAGAAGCTGGTGTATATCTGACTTCAGCTTCATATCACTGAAGAATTAGTGGTGTGTGATAATAAATAACTGCCCCCCTCTTTGAAGGCATATGATGCCCTAAATGTAACTAAAGCCCAGCAGTGAGGAGCTGAACTTTACCCTCCTCTGCTGTCACTGCAGACTGGCAGGGCCGCCTACAGAGCAGCGCTAATAGCTATTAACGAAGTAATTTGAGGGTTGTTCCAGTTCATAGGGAAGATTTCAACCACTACCTCTTGTAACTCAGTTCCAAACAAGGGTTAAGGGTAAAAATAAGAAATGGGATTGGCCCGAAGAGTGTAACTGGTGCAGTAGCTGTGTAGCAGTTTAGCCATGCAGCTTCAATATCATTTAAATATTATGAGATTATTAGCTTACTGAGCTACGAAGTGTGCACTTTTGGGACGTCTGCTTGTGAGAAAAGCCTGCCTTCTGACACAGATCATTCGGTTGTCTCACACAAGAACGTATTTTTGCTGATTTTTGCTGAACTGGACTTCCCAAAAACAAAAAGACCATTAAACAGCTTCAGTTCAGTCAGAACGCTACTGCTGGAGTTTTAACCCAGACCAGGAGAACTGAGCACATCGCTCCAGTTCTGAAATCTTGACACCGCCTTCCAGTTATTTACAGAACAGTTTAAAGCACTGCTGCTAGTCTATAAATCACTGTAAGGTTTCAGCCCAGAATACATCTCTGATGTTTAAATAATATAAACAGTGTAGGTCTCTTAAATCCATGGATTCAGGTCAGCTAGCAGAGCCTACAGTCCAAACTAAACACAGTGAAGCAGCATTTAGCTGTTCTGCTGCATAAATCTGGAATAAGCTCCCAGAAGAGCTTAGATGAGCCCCAAATGTAGTGATTTTTGAACCCAGTTTAAAAATATTTCTCTTTGTGTGTGCGATGGTATTTGCTGAGGGTATATAGAGGCTGCTCCCTCTGGGTTTAAAGACTTGGACTCTATTTTTCAGCAGTGCACTTTTAATAAGCTAAATTTTAACAACACACTCTTTGCCTTTAATTTCCTTTTATGTAATCTGCACTTACTTTTAACCATTTGTTTTATTTTTTAAAAGCACATATTTTTAATATTATTGTTTTTTCACTGTTAAGAACTTTATTTTTTGCTTTTTTTTGTTCTTTTTGCTTTTATTTACGTAAATCACACTGAATTAACTTCACTTGCTTTGCCATTTGCGATATTCAGTTTATACAGTAAACATTCTGCCTCATTCAGAATGACTGAGCTAAAAACCTGTCAGATTTTTTTCTGGATTTGAGGAAAACTCGAGTGTCGAATCTTATTTCGACAGCCCTAGCGAGGGGTGTGCACGCGTCTCACCGCTGAGGTAGAGGGCGAAAGAGATGAAGCGATGGTATTTGCTGAGGATCCGTAGAGGCTCCTCCCTCTGCACCAGTGTGAAGAAGTAATCCGTCACCGTCTCGCCGTAGAAGAAGTAGTTCACACACAACAGGAAGTACCTGAGACACAACAACAGCTTAGAGAAAAGTTGGCGGGAAAAAAAATTCCCTCGAGCAACCTACATGTGAAATCTAGTGCTGCACAATATATGGTATGTTATCATGATATTGGTCACAATCTCACCAATCACAGCGTATGTACTGTGTTCTGTGAGCATCCTGGCCAATCACAGCTCCAGTCTGTGAGTGTTTTCATGAATGAAGGTGTTCATGTAATCCATGTACATAATGCAAAACAATCTTTAACCATGGCATATTATTGATTTACCAATGTTTTTCTGATGTATGAGAAAAAATATAAAAAAAACTATTAAGATTATTAAGAACTATTTCTACTGATTAGTAACTGATTACTACTGTAATTAAAGGGGGACTTCACTGACTTTAGACATGAAATTCTGCATTTATTTTTAATTGTGAGAAGAACTCCTTTGCAAGGAAAATTCACATTAGAGCGTTCTGAGCCAGCTTTCTGGTATCTATAAATCTGACTCAAATATCTAAAAACCTAAAAAAAAAAATGCAATGTCAGCAGTGCCTGTGTTTGAGCTCCCCACTTAAAACTGGCACGTAAAATGTAAGTAAACAGTTATTATGCTTTGAGTGCACTTCCTGCCACTTACTGCGAACAGGATGCAACATTTTTCACTCGCGAGTCATGAAAACGAAAGCATTGCAAAAACACTGTGGCTTTAAAGTTAGCAAAAACAGAGTATTCAAAAATGAGATAAAGGAGCGGCTACTGCACTTTGTCAAGGTAATTAAAAATCATAGTGTATCCATGACATTGTAAAACATTTATTTAACATAAATAGCCCACAAAAAAGGATAGATCAGTGTCTACACTACTGTGCACGTTAAAAAATGAAGAAATTTCACTGCAGAACATTAAAGTAACTGGTACGCCAAATAACAAAACATACCAGTCCAGAAAAGTTATTCTACTGTTGTAATAACACTTTACTTGAGCCCTGCTATATAACAATGGCATAAACATTCCATACACATCATGGCAGATGTCATATGCTGTCATAAACCGTCATGGCAGATGTCATAACCTTTGATGTCATAGTTTATAACTAGATTTTACAGCAAAAAAAATGTCATAAGCAGTCATGTCATCAAATAACCCACATGACCATGACAAGTACCTCTGATGGTAACATGGTGCTGTTATTGTTATTATTACTGACGATAACATGACAACATATGGCATCTGCTATGACATGTTTATGTCAGTGCGCTCCAATAAAGTGTTATTCTAAGCTAAGCTGGAAAAACAGCCCGTTCTGGATTTACTATTGTTGTAATATCATGGAAATCAACATATTTACATATATCTGCCTAGTTTAGCTCCGCCTATTCACACTGAAGTTATAAGGTGTGTTTCAGCATGGACTACAGGGGTTTTACACACATCGGTATTAAATGCACAACAAAAAAAAAAAAAAAATACCTGTTTAATTCTAAAAAAGTGGAGGTTTAAAACGGTCGTGTAACAGTATAAGTGAATATGAGCCCTTGAAATTAGACAGTAAAGATGAAGTCCTCCTTTAATTTTCTACAAAACTACACTCCCATTCATCCACATCTATGATGATCATGGTTACCTCTACTTAGCTGATGAGAAAGAAATGTGAAGCAGGTTGGGCAGAGAAGCACAATGATTAAGAACAGATATCTGGATCTGGTCATGCAGTCAGAGTTGAAGAGAAACAATATGAAAGTTAAGGTGCCCTCTGGATGGAAGCTTACAGGCTGCACAGCAAGAGAGCAGAGAGAGCAGGTGTGCAAGATAATGAATCTCAGCAGAGAGGGAGCATGAGAGGGCGGGGGTGTGAAAAAGAGAGGAAGGGGGCCCGGAGCGTCTCACCAGCTGAGCGTCCTGAACCAGGGGAGGTGGTAGGAGTGATACACGCTGTAGCCGATGGTGATAATCTCGTGGAAACACTTGATCTGCACACAGAGCACCTGCGATGGACAGAGAGAGAAAAGAGATTAACATCTAACACTCCATTAGTATCCTGGTAACAAAGCAGTTCCTCTGAATACGGAGTCAGATAGCGTAACAGGAAAATCCTGACACACACACACACACACACACACACACACACACACACACACACACACTCCACCTCCTTGTTTCTACGCTCATTGTCCATTTTATCAGCTCCACTTACTATATAGGTGCACTTTGTAGTTCTACAGTTACAGACTGTAGTCCATCTGTTTCTCTGATACTTTGTTAGCCCCCTTTTACCCTGTTCTTCAGTGCTCAGAACCCCCATGGACCCTCACAGAGCAGGTACTATTTGGGTGGTGGATCATTCTCAGCACTGCAGTAACACTGACGTGGTGGTGGTGTGTTAGTGTGTGTTGTGCTGGTATGAGTGGATCAGACACAGCAGTGCTGCTGGAGTTTTTAAACACTGTGTCCACTCACTGTCCACTCTACTAGACACTCCTACCTTGTCAGTCCACCTTGTAGATGTGTGTATATATATATATATATATATAAACACACACACACACACACACATACACACAAACTATGGACCAATTATTTTCATCCATTCATCATGATATTTGCACACAATGCCAAGGGACATCTATAGGCACTTCAACTTGTTTCCTTGGCAATAAAAGCTTTTTTGGTTATGTATGCGTATATCTGATGCAACCACGATCAAAAAACGCACTGCAGTCTGTCTCCATGTCCCACCCACAGCTCTACTGGATTGGTAGAAATGTGGATCACGTGTTTAGTGTTTATGAGAAACGCGGGAATGAAGCAGCGCCTGTGTTCACTTCCCCCACAGAGAAGACACAAACTCTCACTCACTCTCGCACACAAACACACTGAGATGATGACTTTTGTCAGTAAACTTTTCAGTTTTGTCCTGATGCACAAGAACACTGTTGGTGAGCAAGGTTTCTGTGCATAGGAACAAGCATGGTGTGAGGACCTACACTAATTCTTCAGTAGTCTGAATGCATTCAGAGTGTGTGTGCCTACAGTGGAGCTTCAGCTTGTGCCATGGGTGCTGTGCCAAACGAGAAAAAATAAAATGAACATGTATTGGATTTAAAGACACACACCATGTAATTTATATGTAAAAGAAATAGGGTGTTCTCACAAAGTATACAGAATGAGCACTATCACAGAAAAATGGAATTTGATTTCCGCTCTCATTTTACTGAATTTTTAATTGTACTAAATGTTCATTAAGTTACTTTTACAGATTTAAAGATTATTTTTAAACGTTTTAAATTACTGTTTTCGCAACCTTTATACTGTCTAAAGCTCAAAGCACTTTAATTTTTATGATGTTCTAAAATTAACCCCTTAACATTCCAGGTTTATTTCATACAAAGGCATCAAAGACTTCAATGCAAACTATTAGACCTATTTTTAGGTTATAGAAGTGTGTGAAAATACTTTGGGCCTGCCGGCAGGTCCATTGCTTATAAAGGGGTTAAACACGATGTTCATTTAATGTAAGCTGTAAGAATTGCATTCTTGTAAATTTACACACCACAAACACACAAACACACACACACACACACACACACACACACACACACACACACTGTGTGATCATTTCATGACAAGCCGTCCAAAAGAGATGGTCTAAAATTTTTGGAATAAAATCTTGTTACACTAAAGCTGCACTTTGTAAGTGTTGCAGATTTGGAGACCTCTCTGGTGGAAATGTGTAATTGCACGCAAGGTGCAGAAGAACATTTTGTAATGTAGGTTGTGCTTCTGACTCCTTTCCCAAAAGAACGAACCTGATGATTGAAAGAGAATTCAAAGAGAACTCAGTCAAAACTTGGTGAACGTCTTCCGAGGATCGAAGTGAATCATCTGCTATTGTCATCATATCTTCATCAGTATAATGTTGATTTTGTATTTGATACCCAAACAGCTGGACCTTCTTTTTGAGTCTTGGCGTGTGATGTTAATACGCAAAGACTTACGACGTTGTCTGAAAAACTCCCGACCCATTACATCAGATTTTTAAATGATTATTTCGGTCTTTATAGGTGCTCCTCATATTTTAGCGTTGTTTTTCTTCCCCGGACTCTGCTACTTCTTTCAATTTTAACAAGAAAATACCTAGTCAGTCGTCATGCAGCCCTCCAGCATGGACTCCATTTCCTAGAATCCCTTGGGTGATCATGTGACTCTGTCTCCACAACACAGTTATCAATGATCTGCTTCGCCTGAATGCTTATTATTTGCACTTGTTTTGTCTATCATGTGACCTGTTTAGTTGGCCTTATAAGCCCAGGCTTTAGAGTAGGGACTGTTTACAGAGCTACAGAGTGTTTCACTGTACATTCCGGTTTGTTTTTCTCGTGTATTGATCTTTGGCCTGTTCGATTCGACTCTGCCTTTTGCTTTCTCCCTTTGGTTTGGTTATGACTGTGTTCTTCTGGTATTGGACTGTGTTGGAACTGACCCTGGCCTGTTATTTGACCACCACTTTGGAAATTCCTGATTCAAGTAAAGCCTCTTTTGTTTTTACAATCCGTACGTCTGAATCATTTTGTCCCGTTACAACAGCGCAGCTGCAATGCACATTCAAAGTTAAGAATATGTTTTACCTTCTTTTATAGAGCTGTCATTTAATAAACACAATAGCAGCAACACTATACAGAAGGCCTGTTTGCTACAGAAGGAGATGTTTCATTACTTTCATTAGGGATGCACAACATCAGAATCATACAGGTGTCAACGCATGTGAAGGTGTTGCTATGACATAATTTGTGTCAGACTTGAATTTTATTTATTTTTTTATTATTATTTTATTTTTTTTATATTCCCAGGCAAATATTCCTTGGCCAAACCGGGGGGGGTCCGTTTTCAGGGGACATAATTTTTTTTTACATTTCGCTATTAATGTTACAACTCATCATTTATTAATGATCATACAGATATAAGGTGATGTGGTACCACAACCACCCAACGTCTCTCCAAACACCCCCCACCCCTCCACTTGGAGTGAAACAAAAATCAGAAATAACTGAGAGACAAAACAGAAGAAGTAAAGAGAAAGGATGAAATAACAATAATAATAATAATGACAATAATAATAACGATAACAATAACACTCAACAAGGGACAAACAGGACAGACAAACACGAACACTTAACAGAACAGTAAACAAGGTAGTAATGCCCCCTTCCTTTTTTTTTTATTTATTTATTTATTTTTTTTTTTGTAATTATAACGTGGGTAGTTACCATGTCCTATGTATGGGTTTTAACCTTTTCCTGATGAGTTTGGAGAGAGAAATCAGCTCTCAATATATTGTAAAAATTGTGACCAGGTTTCCTCGAATGGTTTTGTGTTATTTTTAAAATTTGCTGTGAGTCTTTCCAAGTTGCAGTGATCCATGAGGAGGTTAAGCCAATGCTTTATTGAAATTTTGGTTCTGTCCTTCCAGTTCAGCAGTATAACTTTTTCACCAATGGTAAGTGATATTAACATAAAGGATTTGAGGTGATTGGGTGCTGAAAGTGAGGAAAGGTCGTTAAGTAGCGCTACAATGGGACATAAAGGGACGACAAGGCCCAAAATCTCTGATAGCCTGTCCATGACCTCTGACCAAAACTGCTGGGTCGGGGGACAATTCCAGAAAGCATTATAGTAGTAGTCTGTTAAAGCTGGGCAATGTTGGCATGTTTGGCAGATCTGAATTTTAAACATTCCCCTGTTCATTTCCTATGGGGGGAAAAAGCTGTGTGTGAAAGAACGCTGTACAAAAACAGTATGTGTAACAGTGCAATTGGTTCCAAAAGCACAAGCACACTGTTCCTGTTTAGGCTTTATAACTGCTAAAACAAGACAAATGCAGGATTGGGGCCATTTGAGTACATAAACTTCAGCCTGTTAGGCAGAATCAATACCACTTTGATGCACTTTGTTTACTTACCATTACCACAAGCTACACATGGATTTCTGTATTGTTTATGGCTCTTAACTCCATTTTACACAGATTCCATTTTGGCCAGAGATGCAAATGCCATTTTACGCAATTACAGCTGTGCAGAAAGAGGAGGGAGCGGTCAAAGTGCTATTAAGAAGATGAGGATGCTGAAGGCACTCACAATCATCATCAGCACCATCGGGCCAAGGTAGATGATGAAGAAGAAAAAGGCGATCATCGCCAGAGTGAGGATGCCCCGCACCCACCAGTTCCTCCACCTGTGGAGCAGATACACACAGAGAGCTGATTAGATGGGACATTTAATCATCTAAATGAAAGGCAACCAGGTCCACACACAGTCGCCATCAGCAGAATGCGCTGCGGCCTGGCAGCGCGCTGACCGATCAATAAACTCTTCCATGCAGGAGATCAATAAAAAGGACAAGAAAAAACAAGACATGACTCCATCTTACAACATTAGCACTGGACTAATCTAATGCATAATTCATATCTCAGCAGATTCGTGCCTGCAAGCTAAATACGGGCAGAAGAAAGGAGGACAGTTACAACAAATCAGAGATGCAGGGATGCTTTTCTCTGACGGTGTTGAATCAAAGTACAGACACTAAAGTATCTATATATGGACCAGCTTTTCCAGGAGCTTGTAGCCTGAGTGGTCACTTGCATTGGAGATTTTTCTTTTTAACAAACCACCAGAACAGCTGTACTTTCACACGTTCACAATCAACCACTGTTAATAAAAAATATTTCTTTTCGCTATGGCTGCAGATTAGCTGCGTTCCAAAGCCTAGGCTGCATTTCTCAGCCGCTACATCACAGCAGGCCGTTCCAAAGTGAAGGACCCTTCATATACAGCCTAGAAATGCCGCCTATGTTTGGAGTGATTTCAAGGACGCATCAGATGTTTCCTTCCAGGCCTTATTTTAAGCTTTCATTTAGGTTTTAAATACAGTTTTCTTTTCTTTTATAGTTAAAATGTGCTGTAGCTAAAATGTACAGCCTCATGTTACTTTGAACATAGAAAAACTATCCTAAGCAATTAAACACAATGAAGCATAACAATTTTTAATTGAAGAATCAAAAAGGGGTGGTACTCTGTATCATTCAATACTCGAGTTCAGGTATAGTAAACAGTGTTGTGCGAGAAAAACTGGGATCAGTGCAGCTGACTTCATAATCAAATGACTGTATGTAAATCTCGAGCTGAACGAAACCTCTCTCATGCCTCACTGAGGCTAATTATGTGGTTTTCCATGTTCAGTGCATTTCTAAAAATAAACATAAGGAAGCAATACATTTTTACAGACTACAAACACTGAACAAAACAAAAACAAACACTCTTATCATGAGCTACACGACAAAACTGAAAATCTCAGCAGGTGCTGTTTGTTTGCTTATAGATGCAATACAAGGGCTCCTATATTGAGGTTACCGTGACGACAGGCCTGACAGGGCTTTGTTGAGGACCTCCGGCGTGTCATCTGCAGGCGGAGGGACCTCAGGAACACCTGTGTCTGCTTTACACTCGCTGTCTGACACTCCATCTTTCTCAATCTTATCCTCTGCTTCTGAGCCCTGAAGAGGGAGAGAGATAGAGATGATTAATACAAGGACAATTAATACAATAATTAACATAAATAAAAATAAAATACAGCTGCAAGATAAGAACAAAAGACTAGTATTGTCATTATAAAGCTACATACTGTGAGTGAGACATGCCTTGTAATATACTCTGTATGTACACAGTTTGTATGATCTCTATAGAAATGCACTGACCAACAGAATGGGATACTATGGAGCAGCTGCATATGAGCCTAAGGTCACCATGCTCAATGTCAAGCGTGGGCTAGAGGGGTTTAAAGCCCCCCAGCATTGGGCTGTGGAGCAGTGGAACTGTGTTCTCTGGAGTGATGGAGCTCCATCCATTACCTTTGGGATGAGTTGGAGATCCAGAACTGACCATCCAACATCAGTACCTGACCTCATTAATGCTCAATCAAATCCTCACAGCAATGTTCAACATCTACTGTAAAGCCTTCCCAGAAGAGTAGAGGCTGTTACTGCAGCAAAGGGGACAAGCTCACTATTATAAAACAAATGTTTGGGCATCTACACTCAAAAAAGATGGTTCTTCGAGGGTTCTTTAATAAAGAAAATGGTTCACAGTCAAAGAACCCATGCATGATTAAAGGTTCTTCACATCATGAAACAGTTTTTCAGATTGATGGAGAACGTGTTGTAGATGGTTTCATATAGAGCCTGTTTGAAAAGGGTTCTATATAGCACCAAAAAGGGTTTTTATATTGTAACAAGCTTAATATCGTAACAGTAGGAGAACTCTTTTTGGTGCTGTATAGAACCATCTACAACACATCCTCCATTAATCTGAAGAACGCTTTCATGATGCGAAGAACCCTTAAATCATGCAAAGGGTTATTTGAGTGTTCATGGTTCTATATAGAACCATTTTCTTTACTAAAGAACCCTTGAAGAACCATCTTTTTTAAGAGTGTAGTGTATTGAAATGCATTAGTGAATTCATACTGTGATTATTCAGTGTTGCTCTGTATTACTTCAGATTTTGATCCGGAACTGTGATTGGTCAAGATGCTCACAACACACAGTATACAAACACTTAAACACTACGAATGAACGAATATGGGAATTCTCAGCCAAGGCTAATATCCTATACTAGAGGTCACTGCTAGGCAGACCACAGTCCGCGTCTGGACCCAGACGCTTTCCTCTGCGGACCTGGACCTATAACCGATAAACTATGAAGAATTATTTAATTTCGACTCAGCCAATCAGATCTGTGCATTACGATGAGCACTGACGCTCGAGTGAGTGACGCACACACAGGGGAGGGACGAGGCAAGAAACAGCAGTCGGAGAAGAAAGTGAGTCAGAGGGAGGTTATTTCACGTCGTGCTCTAAAAGAGAAAACTAACAATAAATATTGTTGAAATATTATTGAACTATACTTTATTTGATTTGACATTCAGTTGTTGACTGTATAAGATGTTGATATACCTACTAGGCTACTTCAGTAAACAGTATATGGCACTGAGCCATGATTCAAGTTAGACATTATGATGTTCCGGACCTTTGCTTGAGGATATTTTCTCTAACTGGACCTGAATTTTAATTAAAGACCCCTGTCCTATATTTTTGTGTGCATATCTGCAGATACAGATACATGAACAGTACAGAAACTGGGACGACTTCTACCTGGATTAGAATTACCCTGCGTTCATACCAGCAGCGACTTTTCGCCTAGTCGCCGAATTCGCTGGTCGCTCATCACCTGTGTGCATTTCTGAACTCGAGCAGACAGTTGGTTGTCATGGTTTCAATGACGCCAAGCACAAATCAGACGCATTCCCACTAAAAATAAAAATCTTGGTGAGAAATTGCTTGTGTGCTTGTTTTTATTTAATCCCTGTGTCTGTGCAGTTAGTATGTGAGGTATTCGGTCTCTGCGATAGGCCCTTTTCACATTTCCGCATTGTCTCTGTTGGAAGTGCTCATTACAGGGTGACGCTGCTTCCGCTAAAGCAATAACAACAGCAACAATGACGAGTTGAGAGTGTACAGCTCACTCAAGTATTAGAGCTTGAAGCAAAAACAGCCTCATCTCAGTTTCAGTGGTCTGTCAGCTGATGATGAGAAGAGGAAAACGAGTTTGTGCTGTTAATAAAGGAATAAACTTTGTCATATCGGGTTAAAGAACCTCTGTGTCAGCGATTCAGCACTGCTAACGTTACACTGAATGCAGTTTGTGCTTTAAAGTTGCTGCTGCAGCCGCTTTCAGAGGAACAGTTTTCATTTACTCCCTCAAAAATGATCAGCGACTGAGAGCGAGTGCTCAGCGGAGAGTAGATATTCGTTCACCGGAGCTGGTGGTTCCACCTTAAATGGTGCCTGAGCTGCCAGAATGTAGCTGTTGCTGCTGCATCATTTAAGGTGGAACAAGACGATTTGAACAAGAAGCTGGTTTCAGCCTGGCGACTTTTTAGTGTTTGACAGTTTATCGTTGCAGATTAAACATCAGGAAACCAGCTGAGTGCTTATAAATGCAAATGAGAAAACGCCTACAGTGGCGTTACGGACCCTGACGACCCAGCGTGCCCCCCCCCGCCGGGACTAATTTGTTGCTGGCGAGCTGTTTCAGCATCTCCAACTAATACGGCTAATCTAGTGTTTTGGTTATAGTTATTTTCACCTGTCCATCGATTTATCACTCTATGGATGTTAACTTAGCTGACGTTACTGTGCTCTGATGGCTGTGAAGGAGTTTTTCATGAATCATTTATATCCTTTATTTAGTCTGGACTCCCACATTGTTGTGTGTTTGGTTCTCCAACAGTTCTGGACACATCCTCAAATTTCAATCTTGGTGACTATGACAAAGATAAAGTGACACCTTTCTGTGGTGAAGCTGAAGTGATATGAACGCCTGTATTTCTGAGGTTAGTAACTGTCCGAAAGGCAACAGCAGAATTTGCTTACCCAGCGTTTACACACGTCAGTTTCTTGTGAAAAGGGCCTATTCCTATTGGTAATCGCTACACTGCTTTTCTCCTTATTTGCATGAAGTTAAACCCCGCCCACTTCGCATCGCCAACGTTTGCGCTGCCTTCTGTCGCCGGGAATTGTCAGCTCTCATTGAAAATGAATGACCTCTGGCCATTTTGTCGTGCTGTATTGTTGCCAGGGTTAAACCTGTAAAACCTAACTGCACATCTTAATGAAAGAATTAAGTTAACACAACTTAAATGCTACAAAACGTTTGAGTAACTTAATCTGAGAAAAATCAAATTAATTTAAAATATGGTTTGTTGAGACAGTAACTCAGCCATCTGGAGTTAAGATTGTTTTTTTTTTAGCATATTTTGAGTTAAGATAACCTCTTTTAAATATATTATATTCACTATGTTTATTTAAATTGGCATTACACACAAATACAAACAGGCCAATCAGGGGTTGTTTTTAAAGATTGTTGAAAATGTAGTGTGGCTGGATTATTTTGCCCTCTTATAACTATATATGCACACTTATAATGAACGACAGACTGTTTACTCCATGTATCACTCCTAGTTTTAGCTTATTCAGAATTACCACATTAAAAGTGATGCTTGTCAAGCACATGGAATCGTCTTGTCTGCCTATCAGGAGTGGCTGGTCGCCTCAGCACAAGTGAAATATGTTCTAATGTTTTTAGCTAAAACATCAGTTGATTCAGTGGTTGAGCTGTTGAAGTTTCTGTATCAGTAAATTTACGTGAAGGACTCCCAAAAACTTCTACATTTAAATGATTTGGACTTTTCTTGTTTTTCTCATAACTTTACAGATTTCAGGCATTCACATGAGATCTGTGAGTTGAATCAACTTACTGGAATTTAGTTTAGACTTTAAGTTATTTAACTAAAACCCATTTAAGGCACTCGGTTTCCTCAAACCATTTGAGCTGACTTAACTCGTCAGGTTTTACAGTGTAGCGTTACAAATAGTGCTGGGCGATCTTCACGATTAATTCGAATTAACGTTTTCACACGATGTTAGAAATGTGACATACGAGTTTGTACATGTTTACACTGCTTGTACTTTAATTAAAATATCAACAAAAACTATTCAAATTTTTAAGACGTACGAAAAACGCATCTTAAATAAAAAAAAAAACCTCTCACAGGTCTGTGCGCTGACCTCGGCGCGCGGCGCTTCGCAGAGGAGTGAGCTCGTACCAAAGGAAGGTGGAAACATCAGTTCAGTGGTGTGGAACTGGTTCGGATTTGAAAAGTCAGATGTTGAACAATTTCATGTAAAGTGTAAGTTGTGTCGAAAGACAGTTGCAACCAAATTTAGCAGTACGACAAATCTGTTCCAGCCCTTATGACACAAACACCCAGTGGAATAGGAGCAATGAGTGAAACAACGCGATGAAAATCAGCGAGTTTTCAAAGCGGCTGGGAACGCTGTTAAGGCCTCAGCACTTCTTGCAAAACGAAATTCCCGAGGGTTGTGCGAAGCCAAAAAGCACCTTCGCGAGATTATAAGATCGCATACTTTCTGCGGTTTCGTGTTGCCTGTCGCGGATGCTCCACGTGACACTGACATTTTACGATAATTTCATGATTACTGGAAAACGATTCTTTCACGGTTCTAACTATGGCGACGTTTGAGTTCAGAATACCACCATCATTTAAGGTGGAACGGGGAAATTCAAACAAGACGCTGGCGAATAGAAAGCCAACTTCAGCCTCGTCCTCTTGTGAACCTAAATATAAGATAACCTGTATGTTTTGGTGCCGAGTACTACTAAGTACTACCGAATAGTAGACTTAATATCTTACATTTATGAGACATTTATTATTTAACAAATGCGAGTTTCACAGTGAAATTTTAGTGTGTCTGCCGAAGCCGAAGCTCCTCAAAGTTGTCCATCTTTGTTTAATGGCACGCCTCTTTGTCCGCGGAGTTCACCCAGCTGCCATGTGTGCGACACGGCGAACGAAGCCTCCGCGCGACGTTTGCGGTTGTTCGTTTCTCCGCAATTACAGCACATTGTTCGCTGA